GGAACTCAAACACAGACCTATTGATAACCCACTCAAAGGGCTAAAGTTTTCGTCCGACCACAAGGCTAGTGGTTGGTTTTGAGTTTAGGATTTAAGGTTTAAGTTTATCAAATAATTAAAGCATGTCATATGGAACCTTATTAATTTGGTGGTTTCAAATGTTTATGCTAATCCGAAGCAGCCTTTAGTTGAATATCATCTTCCAAACCAAGTTGATTAATTAGTGAGGGAAACAGACTAATATATATTTAGATAACAACTTAAAGAGTAATTATCAAATATTATAAGGTGTTCAATTTTTTTGTCTTCCTTTTTTCTATTTATAAATTTTCAAAGTAATCATTTATTCACGAGAATATCCATGATTTTTGTCATATACTACTGTAAATTATTGGCATGTTAATGTTAATACCAATCAAATCAAGAAGCAATTTTTATATAGTTTCTTCCAAAGCTCGTTAAAATGTGATTAGTCATAGCCACACTATAAACATATAAGTTCAATTCAACCCAGTCAAACTTAAAAATTAAAAAAAAAAAAAAAAAAAAAAAAACTTCATATTTTAAATATTTACAATTGACCATTTAATTCATATTGAATCAGCTCAAACTTTGAAAAAAATAAAAAAGGGTTTTATATTTTATAATATTTACATTTTTTACCGCATTTAAATTCACATAGCCCCACAAAAAATCTATCTAATTTATCAACTTAAATATTTAAACCCACTCACTAAATTCATGGTTACGTCTGCGATCGTAGCTATATATTTAACCAAATTTGTGGAAGATATATAGTGAAAGCTAATATTTGAAATATATATCCGAGGGCCATTGTATAATGACATAGAATGATGGTGCATGCCATAATACGTTGGATGATGTAATTAATATTAGAAAATAAAACTAAAAATTTAAACAAGTTTTTCATGAGATGAGCTGATGACAAAACTAACTATAGTCTTCTTCTTTAATATCAAATTCAATCAATAATTGACTAATTGTTTTCCATGGACTTGGAATCACTCGTTAACTACTACCCAATGTGGGTTTATTCCAATTTGTCTCAACTATTGCCACACATTACCAACCAATGTTGTGTTCATATTAGGAAAACCTACATCATCATATACATAGTAGATGTATAAGTATATGCAATAAAGATTAGGAATCTTAGTTTTTTTTTTTTTTTTAATATTAAAGGATAAATTAACTGCAAAAAAATCTGCATGCAAAGGGTGAAACCAAGATTTTATTTGAGTAATATTGACGTACAAACAAATCCTTAAAGATTTTATACAAATGATGTGGCAGAAATATTGGAAGAATAAATATGATGAGTTTGGCTTTTGTATTCACTCTTCTATTTTTTTTTCACATCAGTCTGTATACAAATCTTTATAAGATTTATTTGTAATAACATATTGTTTTATTTAATCACCACGGGATGACGATAGTAAAAGAGCAAAGAAAATCTAACTGGTCTCCAAGTTCGAGTCCTCTTGATGATAAAAAAGTAAAAGGATGATTTAACTGATCTCTCAAGAAGAGATTTAACATGACTCTCAAGAAAATGATCTAACATACTTCCAGTTAAAGCCCCCTTGAGGGTAAAAAGGCAAGGGAATGATCTAATATGGTTTTCTGAGTTCGAGTTTACACGGTTGCCAATAGGGGTGCTATTGGAGCTCGTACCTGACCAATAGTTTTAAGTCCAAGAGATGTTGAGGTGCACGTAAGCTAAGGGTGTATAAGAGCTGAGCCGGTTGAGTATCTGGATACTTGAGCTCAGTTCGTGAGAACAGTGTTTCGTTTGAGTTCGAGCTTGAATACTTAGGCTCGAGTGAGTTCGCGAGTAGGGGTGGGTGCCGAGCTCAGTTCGATTATTGTGAGAGGGGTGTTTGTCATTTTAAAAACTTGAAAATAAAAAAGTTACAAAACTTGCGATTTGGCCTTCGAGTGCAATGAGGCTTGCAAGCCTATCGAGCCGGCTTGCCAAGATCGAACTTGGCTCAAACCTTAAACGAGCCACCCGAGCTCTAGCTCAACTCGATTTTACTTCGAATCAAGTTCAAGCTCACGAGCACGAGCTCGAGTAGCTTGCAAACTACTTGACTCCTTCTCATTCCTATGTAAGCTATTGGATCTTTAGTCATAAAAAAGAAACTACTCTTTTTATTTGGGGAGGGTTGATTTTTTTTTTATAATATTTTACATATATATATATATTATAGAAGAAGTTTTTTTGTATAGAAAAGAATCATAAAGGAAAACAAACTTAAGATGAAATTTCTGTCAAGATAATTTATTAAGAGGGTTGATGTGAAGAGAGAGAGTAGAGATCACATAGTTGCTTGTCATATAGTAATTAAGATTTTTTTTTTTTTTTTTTTTGTGAGGAATAATGGAATAGAAAGAAATTCTATTAATTTAAGAATGATGAAATAAAAGAAAATTATTTTAATAGGGATTGTATACCAATTGTGATTTTCTTGCAAAAAACGGAATATAAATCTTCTTTGACATGGAATGATGAAAAAGAAGAGGTTTTTTTTTTTTCTTTTTTTTTTCAAATAAGTATAGATATGTGAATTGTGATAGATAAAGAAATATATAAAATAAACTGACTTTGTTATTAAAGAGTTTTTAAAGTTGTTTTAACTGTCGAACGACATGTTCCTACCAAACTTGCCTTAAGACAAGTTAGTACCCCAAAAGTTTGGAAATGACAAATACTCACTTTTCGTATATCTGTTAGTGAATTCGTCTATGATCATGGAAAAGACTAATACGCCGTTTCCTTCTCCTCTTTTCTTCTTCCATTTTCTTCTCGGCTTTATACACCTCCTTCTCCAAAGATTCTATCTCTTCTCTCTCTCTAATATCTTAATCAATCAATTCCTTCAAAATCTCAATCTTTTTTTTTTTTTGTTTTTTACACTTTACTGGCAATGAAGAAGGTCGGTTAAGGTGATGTGGATATTATGTGGGGGAGACCGATTGGCCGTCAGTGGGGGACTCGAACCAACCGGATTCAAATTTTCAGAACGCGCTTGGTATATTGGGAACCTGTGTGAGCACGTGAACTCTAGTGAAGGGACGCCTCTGATGCCTAATCGGTTTTTGAGGTTTACAATTTTCTTTGTTCAATGAGAATCTGAAACATCTATCTCGGAGCAGAATTTCGGGTTGTTTAAACCCGAATCGATGCTTTAAACTGTTTATCAATCTATCTAAAATCTTAATTCATCACTTTTGGTATTGGCGGCGGCAAAGGTGGTGCAGCGGTGGTTGTGGCAGAATGATGGGTGGGGTTCGACGGGTGTGGTTAGAAGAGTTTTGAGAGGAGATGGTGGTGGGGCTAAAGATTTTAGAGAATGTGTGTAATAGAAGAAGAGGAAAGGAGGAAGAAGAAAAGGGCATTTTAGTCTTCGCATAATTATAGATGGAATTCACTAACAGATATGGATGGAAAGTAGGTATGTTCATTTTTAAACTTTTTGGTAGTACATTGTATTAAGGCAAAGTTTGGGTAGGAACGTCGTTCGGCCTTGTTTTAACTATAAATGGGTTTTTACCTCCTCAAAAGTTTTTGCATCAAATTAAAATTCACTAATCAGTCACATAAAATATGGCTATTCCTATAAAAATGAAAAAAAAAAAAAATAAAATAAAAAGATCAACTTGATTAAAACCTAATGAAATACTACATATATAAACTCCTTATATGTATTTAAATGTGATTAGATGAATTTATATTAAGATAATTTAAACAAATTAGAGTAGATAGTATGTCAAGTAGACAGGTTGTCATATCAAATTTTAAGGAATGTTTGTGTAATTAGTTATATATCTAGCAGACTCAAACTCAAAATACTTTTAAACTCATCCTAATCTAAAAAAATTTAAAAGAGAATAACACTACCTATACAGACTTTTAATTAATTCATCCAAACAAATGGCATGTTTAAATGATGATTTTTAAATTAGAGATAAATTAAACAATTAGAGTATATAATATGTCAAACATGTAGAGTTGTATATAAGTCTGTAGGGAATTGTTTGTATATATAAAATTACTCTTAAAAAATTAGCCTAAGTGAAAATCAAGTAGTTTTTTTTTTTTTTTAATGATCAGGGGTGTCCAGGCCAACTTATGAGCACTTCAACTAATCTCTCGGAATCCTGAAACTACGGCCGGATAAAAACTCTAGTGGCTACGCCTATAGCAACTGAAAAAAAAAAACAAAAACAAAAAAAAAAAAAAAAAAAAAAAAAAAAAAAAAAAAAAAAAAAAAAAAAAACCAGACACAACAAAAAACAAAAAAAAAAAAAAAAAATGAAAAAAACCAGGAAAAAAAACAAATAAAAAAAAAAAAAACAAAAAAAAAAAAAAAAACAAAAAAAATAAATGATCAAACTCAGCATTTTGAGGAATGCACCCAGAAGAAGTCTCTATCGAACCAACTAGGGACCAAAGGTAATTAATCATCAATGTAGTTCTGCCCCGATTCTACTTGATTGTCGTATCATTTACTTTTCATTTATCTTTAATAATAATTCATGTCAATTAGTAAAGGTCGCATTAAACTCACTTAAGAAACAAGTACAAGTTGATTATGTTAATTTAAAATAAAACTGATCAAATTTAAGCTTGTACAAGCTGTTTTATCATTTACCTACTGTTTTCCCTTCTGTGTTTCTGTGATTAATTTCTCTCTTAATTGGCTGACATGAGTGTTTAAATGTCATGAATCACTATGCATATATTCAGAAATTTTATGAATAAGTCTTCTGTAATTTTTCTCTTCCCATGAAACAATTCATGTTCCTGAAGATAATTTTTCAGAAGATAGAAATTGCCAAAATACAACATTTTGGAAAAGCAATTGCAGAAGATGGCTACTTCGTTAATCGAATGAACTAAAACTATTCATGAGTAATTTATTTCAATTATTCAGCTTTTATTCACAGAATTTCTCCAATTCTCCATTATTTATAGAAAATTAACTAATGCAAGAACTAATAGCTTCATGGACAAAAAATAAATCAGAAACAGCGAATCAATAGGATTGAAACCAACTGTAAAGAATTCTTAGCAGAAAATTTAAATGTATAGACAGCGAGCGCCAGAAGCCCCCAGAATGTTACCTGAATCTAGATTGAATGAATATTAGTTGAAATGTCTACCAACCGCCTCTGAATTTCCTTCGACTAGTGAAGGACTTAGTGGGCAAGATTCGCAGATACATTCTTCATATCAAGGATGCAACAATCATGAGCTGCACCAGTGATAGAAGGTCTGTTCTTGCTGCATCAGTGAAGCTTCTCATTCTGCTGCAGTACTCATTGATAATTGCATTACCCTTTTTGTTTGTCTGAAGTTGGATCTTCATGGGAGAGCTTTGTGTCACAACCTTATTCCGTAATGTCATGACAAGAGCAGCAAGTGTGGAGAGCGTACAAGGTTGAAAGGTTTCGCAAAGCAATCACGTGGAGTATGACAGTTGAGAAGTCAGGTGTGTTTCCTCCTGACACATTAACAATGCTTCATAAGACTCTTTAGGAGGGAGAGCTCCATGAAAGGAAAGTACTGGAGCCATTAGAAGTTGTTCTTCATAGTCGACAATGAAAAAGGGATTAGGCCATCCTGCACAAACTGGCCGGGAGTTGGAGCCATTCCCTTAATGAGTTCATGGTAAGACAAAACCAATGAATGATGTACATGTAGGCTTACCTTGTCTCAAGTGTGATGTTGGGGTGCTGTATGGGCCGTTCCGCTATGTTGAAACTCTAGGCGCGTGACACTTTGACATTGGATTGTAAACCAAAAAGCTTCTATAGACAGGTCCAAACCGACTGAGATGTAGTGCATCTTATGACCGAGCTTAGTATTTCCTCTGTCATGGTTGAGAGCAGCTGGCTTAGCAGAAGTTGATCCTGCTTTCTCCAAGTAAAATATTTAGGGTTCTCAATGGAGTTTGGGTTTTATCCTTTAGTATAAATGAATTAAGCCTGGTGCCAATCAATGGTCATATCGCTAGCTAGACAAAAGGAAGGTACATAAGCTTTAGTGTAGAGTTACTGATAGCTGTGATTTTCCAACTTCATCTTCACCAGAAGTCTCCGCAATTGCAAACTCCATTCCTGAAATGATGAAATCGACTTGCATCTCTAACTATTATCTCTCTATTTGTAATAACAGTGATAAATTTGATGGCAGAGTGGCAATCAAAGCAAACTCGCAAATTTTTGGTAACTAAAATAGGCTTTGTGGGGCTCAGACTAAGAATTCCGAAAGCAATAGCCAGCTTCTCACTGTGGTAAAGTAGAATTCCTTCCTTTTCCTCTTCTTCAACATCTTGGAGAACAAGACCAGATTCTGCATGATAACCCAACCTTATCATCTCAGGTAATAGTTCAGTAAGTTTCTTGTTTATCTGTGCCGATTGTGGATGAGACCTATCTCCACCAACAAATGCATGAACAATCCCATTTATCTCAACCCAACTACATCCTGGACTTTTCTTAATGCCTAGGTCCCTCTGTGTGATTCTAACACCTGCTGCATCCTGCCATCTACCAACAGCACTATACATATTTGATAAAAGAACAAAATTTCCACTACCTTCAGGTTTTAAACTCTGGATTTTCTTTGATACTTCTTCCCCAAGTTCAATATTCTTATGGATCCTACAAGCACCAAGCAGGGCACCCCATACACAAACATCAGGTTCAAATGGCATGTTTTCTATGAATTTGCATGCCTCATTCAGAAGTCCGGCACGGCCCAGAAGATCAACCATGCATATGTAATGATCTATTCTGGGGACAATGTTAAAACCTTGAATCATGGAATTAAAAAGTTGTTTCCCCTCCGTTACAAGTCCTGAATGGCTGCAAGCAGATAAGAGACAAATGAAAGTAACATCATCTGGCTTTAAACCCACAGCTTGCATTTTATTGAACAGTAAAAGCGCTTCCATGCCAAGCCCATGAATTCCATACCCAACTATCATTGCATTCCACGAGACAATATCCCGTTTATCAATCCTATCAAAAACTTTTCTGGCAATATCAATTTTTCCACACTTTGAGTACATGTCAATAAGAGCATTGCAAACTGAGGTATCAGCTACAAACCCATGGACAACTGAACAACCATGTGCAGAAGCACCATGTTGTAGAGCAGCTAACTGTGAACAAGTAGGCAGGACACCAACCATGGTAGCCGAATCAGGTTCAATTCCAGACAACTGCATCTGATGGAATATACATAAAGCCTCTTGTGCATAACCATTTTGCGAACATCCAGAGATAATGGCACTATATGAAACTGTATCTTTCTTATCCATTTCATCAAAAAACCTTACTGCTTCATCTACGATCCCACACTTTGCATACATCGAAAGTAATGTGTTTCCTACTCTTATATCTGAAGCAAACCCAGTTTTAAGTGATAAACAATGGATGCGTCTCCCTTCACTCAGATCAGTCAACTTTGCACATGCTCGAAGTACAGTGCCAAGAGTTACAGCTGTTAAATTCATGACATTCTCAGACACCATTTGATCAAACAATTCTAATGCCCCTCTTGGCAGATCACACGTAACATACGCTCCAATTATAGCACTCCAACTTATCTCATTCTTCACTTCCAACAGATCAGAAATCCTTTTTGCATAAAATAAGCACTGACATTTCGCGTACATGTCCAAAAGCCCAGTACCAAGTACCACATCATTGCTGAAACCCCTCCTAACAGCGTAGCCATGCATAGCCTTCCCTTGGTCCAACACATTAGCTGCAGCAACTGTTGGAAGAACTGCGACAATTGTGGAAGAATTAGGACTAATCCCCCCCTTTTGCATTTCAATAAACAACTGAATCGCGCTATCATATAAACCATGAAGAGAAAATCCAGCAATCATAGCGTTCCAAGCCACAATATCTCTACAAAACATTCCATGGAAAACTTCTTTAGCCCGAGTCAAAGCTCCACATTTTGCATACAAATCAATCAGAGAAGTACAAACATAAATATCCTTATCGAGCCCAAGTCTTTTAACATGAACATGAATTTCTTCCCCATCATCTATTGCTCTTAAACCAGCACAAGCTTTCAGCACAAAAGGAAACGTGAATTTTGTTGGTTCAATACCCAATTGAATCATCTTATAATACAAATCAACGGCTCTCTCCAAGGGTCCATTCCACGCATACGCTCTTATCATAAAGTTCCAGAGAGCAACATTTGGTTCACGAATTGTGTCAAACACGCGGCGTGCAACTTCAATTTCATTGCAATTAACATATAAACGTGCTAGTTTTTCCAGTACAAGAGGATTTTTTATGTGGGTATTGTTGTCTTTGAGGAGTTGTTGGTGGATCTTCTTGCCTTGAATGAGTGCCTTTGATTGTATGCAAGATTCAAGAAGCCGTAGATAATCAGCAAGTGAAAACTGTGGTGTTGTGATGCGTAATTCAGTTTTCAATTGATTGTAGATAGATTTTAGAGAAGACTTGGGTAAATAGAACTTAGTGACGGACATCACTGGTGATGAAAAGTCGGCTGTTGGGGGATTATATATTTTTGAAAGAAAGGCCGGCTCATCGGCCTATAATATTTCTAGAATGGAGTAATTGTGTGTTTAGCCCCACCAGTTGACAAAAGGTTTAAATAATCATTGGACTTGATGTTTTGTTTTCACAACAAGCGGTGCTGGAACACATCCTAAATGTAGATTGAAATCGAATCCCACACCGCGGTAGAAAGGGTCATCACAATCAGCATCACAGACATTGCAAGATAAAGAGCCATAAGACTGCGCTCGTGGCACTTATGTTTCAATATTGGCTTCAAATGTAAGCACAAGCTGAGATTGAATCAACACTCATTACAGGCGGAAGCTGATGATCGAGCTTGTCTTTTTACTACCATTCAATACTACGTTATCATAATATCCGTGACGACGAAGAGAAAGGGAGTCTTGCCGGTGAAATTTGTGCTGAATTTTTTGAGGTATTCATGAAGCAATTAATAACATCGAAAGCAACAGTAGGCTGGAGCTGGACCTGAGAGGAGCTCTGCACAAGCAAGTGCAGGTTAAAAAATTCCTCCCCAGAATTGCTGAGTATGTACTTCTGGTTGTGACTGAACTGTTGAATCCCCATCTGAAAGGCTTACTTATATCAGTTGTGAGAATGTTTTAAAACCGACCCATTGTGAGACTCAACAGGGTGATTGGGTCACGGGTTCCCCAGTCTTGGACCGGTCAATTGCACGGGTGATGTCAGTAAAAAAAATAGTTTAAAATTTTAAATAATCCCTAAAATTGTAATATATTATAAAAATAACCCTAAAAATTTAATTAGTTCCTGAAATTTTAATTTATTTTCAAAATACCCCAAAAAGATTCGAATTAGTCCCTAAAGTTTTGAAATACTTCAAAGAAACCCTAAATGGCATCCCTATAAGTTTGAAACATAGCAGAAACTCCATGGAACTTCAACCGGACCGGAAATGCTGTCGAGTCCCAGTTGGACTGGTCTGGGTTTTAAAATAATTGTCTTATGAATTGAATGAGGAGATCATATTATCAAACACAAAAGAAGCTATTATAATAATAGCTTTTAGCTGTTAAGTTTTATGCTATTCAGAGAGATGGATAATCAGCTATCTTCAAAGAGGCACCAACGTTATTCAAAGCAAAACTTGTAAAGTGGAACTGTGCATTTAAGATTACAAAATAGACAAATCTTATCTTAGTTTATTGTTGACTATTCAATAAGATAAGTTTAAAAGTGTGTTTAGATGTTGTACGCAAAGCCAACAATTCTTCCTTGTCATATTTTTCTAACCAAGTCGTTTTCATTCCTTCATTGTTGGCATGTGATAAGATAATAAAAAAATTTGTCAAAAATTCTGGATACTCAACTGAGTTTAATTGTCTAATTTTGGCTTAAAGAAATGCCGTACAGCATCTTTTGATAAGTAACCCTCTTCATCCATGGCAAGATATGCATGTGTAAGGCCGTCCCGACTCTTTAGTCTTAAAAATGCTGGTTTTAAGAATGAATGATTGTTCCTTCTCTAACTGTCGGTTTTAAGAATGAGTAATTACCCTTCTTCGACTCTTAACTGTCCAATTTGAGAGTGGATAGCTAATGCAATCCACTTATTGGACAGGGTTCTATAGTCGGTCCGTGACCCCTGGATACCGAAGGCGTCCTTGGTGTGCAAGACAAAGAGAAAGATAAAGAGAACAACAGATACCAGCCAAAAAAACCAAATGCATTGCGGTTGGACTGAGTCATGCGCCAAAGCTCCCCTGGCGTAAGCTTATCAGGCGAGGTACGAGCATATTTGCTGAAAATGCTCTCAAACTCTGCTGGAATAAACCTGAAAATACAGTAGAGTCATAAATACTAAGAATCATACTTCCAGCTTTCCCCACTATCTTGGAAAAAAAATCCCCATGTTGAATGTTTCTTCTCACCTTCCTTCAGTGTCATAGGTCCCTGAATCACTTCCATGCTTTGCCTTATGTGTGTTTTGGATATCTATGGGGAACAAAGGTGAAGGTACCCAATTCTGCTAGAAAATCATAGCAATATATAGGTAGCTGTAATGTAAACGCAAAAGAAAGAATCTTAACTGAACTTACTGGAAGAGTTACATAACTCATAGTCACATGGACAAGCATCATCAATAATAAAGAAGCAATAAGGTTGAAACCAACCATCCAGAATCCTGCACAGAAATTAAAAGAAAATTTATCAACTGGGATCACCAAAAGCCCCAAAATTTTTGTCGAGCAGGCTATTGTTTCTTGAATTTAAATCACAGAAGCTTATACATTAGGCACACTGCATATAGAGAAATGAATTGTCCTGTTGCTTATAACTAAAAATTACAAGGGCATATCACAGCATAGAACTGAAGCTCACAGAGTCTTCACAATTAGCAACTACTTTCAAGATATGCTAAATTGACACTGCCATTGACAATCAAATCATTATAAACACTACACAAACAGCACTTCCATGTAGAGCTGGGCATTTGGGACCGGGCCCAAAAGCCCAGCTCTAAAACCCAGTCCTTGAGAGGACCGATCCTAGGAGGCCTGGTCCCAAAACGGGACCAGGCCTAAGGAGGAGAGCCCGGGCCCTCCACTGGGCCCTCCTCCAAGGCCCGGGCCTAGGATCGGTCCCAGGCCTGGGCCCAAAAAATTTTGTATTTTTTCAATGTAGTCACTGCCAAATTACATAAAACCCCCTATTAATTTCAAAATAAATATAAATTATGAGGGCTAAAATGAAATTTTACAAAATTTATTAAAAAAAAAAAAAAAATCTTCCAGGTCTAAAAAATTTATAAATTTTACCCCTAAAAAATACTAAAAACCCCCAATAAAATTTCGTTTTGCCCCCAAAATATAAAAAAAAAATTGAGAGGGGAAAATGAAATTATCCAAGTCCCATGGGACCGGTCCTGGGCCCATGGCACCAGTCCCGACCAGGCCTAGGGCCTGGTCCGGGTCCTGGTTTTTCTCATGGGCCTGGGACCGGACCAGTCACTCATGGGCCTGGGACCGGTCCCAGGCCCATGAGTGACTGGTCCCATTTGGGACCACTCCCAAACGGGCCCAAGCCTAGGCCCGCAAGGGACCAGTCCCTTGCCCACCTCTACTTCCATGTGCCATTAACACTGATTTTTATTGTAGAACTTTTACTTATGTCTTGTAATATATAAATCCAAACCTATAATTAGTCCAAATCAATTTATATTTTGCTAGGGGTCAGCGGTTCCAGGTACCTTCTATTTTTCAGCGGAACCGGAACCGCACAGTACAGGTTCCCAAAAAAAGGAATAGGAACCGGAACCGCACAATGTAGGTTCTTAAATTCAAGGAACTGGAACCTAAAATGCAGGTTCTGGTTCATTTCCCGGGTGCCCTATAAAAAATAATTACCACCCTATTAGTTTAAAAAATGACAAAAATACCTTAAAAGTTTACAAATACACCCCTGACAAATTTTGATTACTCATTCATTTGTGTCCAATGTAACGCATAAATCCTCTAATCTCTAGGCAACACTTGAATTCAATCAATTCATCACAATTCACATAAAATTTCTCAATCAAAACCAAGACACAAACAATTATTAATCTATAAATTGTTAATTTAATGTTATAAATTGTTAATGTTTATAATGTAATATAATAATATTGTAATTAATTAAGTAATTATTTAATTATAATGTAATATTATAATTAATTAAGTAATCATACTATACATGTATAATGTAATGTTATAATTAATTAAATTTATAATTATTTAATTAAATATTGTACTAATGTTTATAATATAATGTTATAATTAAGTAAGTAATCATACTACAAATTTATAATGTAATGTTACAATTAATTAGATTTTTTAACCATTTAATTAAGTAATGTACTAATGACTAATGTAGTAAATTAATAATGTTTATAATGTAATATTATAAATTTATAACTAATTAAGTAATCATTTAACTATGTAATGTTATAATTAATTAAGTGATCATAATATAATGTAATGTAATAATGTTATAATTAATTACGTAATAATTTAATTAAGTAATCATTTGTTTATAATGTAATGTTACAATTAATTAAGTAATCGTATTATAAATTTATAATATAATGTTAATATGTTATAATTAATTAAATTTCTAATCATTTAATTAAGTATTGTGTTAATGTTTATATAGTAAATTATTAATGTTTATAATATAATGTCATAATCAATTAAGTAATCATTTAATTATATAATGTTATAATTAATTATGTAATCATACTATAATGTAATGTTCTAATGAATTAAATAATCATACTATAAATCTATCAATTAATATTTAATTAATATATTAATGTTTATAATGGAATATTATAATTGATTAAGTAATCATACTATAAATCGAGGCCGAACGACTTACGCATACCCAAGGTTTACCGAAATGACAAGTTGGTATCTAAAAGGTTTTGAAACGACAAATAGGTACCTTCCGTCATGTTCTATTAGTGATTTTCGTTTGATAATAGTGAAAAGACTAAAATGCCCTTGAAAGTTTAATATTTTAGTTTTTTATAAATTTAAAAATTTCTAAAAAACCCCTTAGGTTTGCTAATTTGACTAAATACCCCAATATATAAAAATTTTATAAATAACAAAAACACCCCCACCACCCGCAGTGCCAGATTCCGGCCACCACCGCCGAAATCTGGCCGAAAAAATTGCGTTACGACACAGACCCATCGAATCTGTGTCGTAACGCGTAGATCTGGTATTTTCTGACAAGATCCATGGCTGATTTGGCCGAAAAAGGCCAAATCTACGGCCAGATCTGGCCGTCGAGGCCGGAATCTTGCCGAAAAATTGTGTTACGACACAGACCCTTCGGATCTGTGTCATAACACGTCGATCTGGCATTTTCCGGCCAGATCCGTGGGGGATCTTATAACAACTTCTTTCTACTATCATATTCATAAAATATATCAATAAAAAGACAAGTATATTTATCAAAATAGTTGGGCCCAAAAATTTTTTTTACTTAATAAATACATTCTTTACATAGTACAACATCATTTGTGCAAAAAGACTCTAAAAAAACAGTGGACAGTGCAGCCAAGTCTCCCCGCTTGCCGACGTCCATCTGACCAGGTCCTCACCTATGTCCTGTACAACAAAGAAAACAACGGAGTGAGCACAAAAGATGCTCAGTAAGTAAATCTTCTACTTTATAATCTCCGTGCATTACTCATCAATTCTTTTCATTGTCTTGTCACTTTCTCTAATTCTAGTTCTCACTATTCTTTTATTTCTTTCTATGCTCATCACCCATGGAGAATATCATAACCATGCATGGACGAGACATTAAAGCATAACAATGCATTTTCTTTCTTTTCTTTTCTTTCTATTCTTTTCTTATTCTTATTCTTTATCGGTCTTGGTCGATGCACGGATTCGGAACCCTTGACCATGTGAGTGTACTCTCTCTCGTGTATAGCTCTCATCCGCATGTATTCTCATGGCTATACAAATTCTTTTTCTCATTCTCATTCCACTCTCTCATGGCGGAGACCGCTCTCTCTCATGGCGGTTTACATGCGGGTAACTCTACACTCACGGGTTCCCCATCGCACGACCTATTTTCTTTTCTTTTCTGTAGCACTTAATAATCATTTTATTCTCTAGTGCTAATTCTTTCTTTCTCTTTATTCTAAGAGAATTGGTTCTTTTCTTTATCTCTATTCATAGAGTGTTTCTTTCTCATTTCTCATATTTCTTTCTCATGTGATTACTCAATTAAACATATGCATATGGATGGCCCATGCCTAAAATCTTTCTTATATGCATTCATGAAATGCAAATATGCTATGTTGCATAAAGTAAGGTTCTCTACTTCTACTCATGCTTCTTTTAGGCATTTCATCGAACAATATGCGTGCATACATAAACTCTATTCTAACTTTAATTATACTTCTTTCTTAACCATCCAAAATTGGAGTTCAACTCCTTTAAATCATCACACATCCTACAAAGAAAACACACTTCAAATATTCCTCTCAAAATCTTCTAATTCTCTCCATATTTCTACCAAAATTTATCAACACAATCCACCCTACTCATGGTGGAAATTACTTCATAAAACAACATTGAACTCATTCATGAATTCATCAACTCATTTCAAACATAGAAATTCAAGCATTAATCATATATAAAATCTCTACACATCATTCAATCATGCAAATCAAAACTTAGGTGGATTTACTTACCTTAGGCTCAAGTAGAATCCACTTAAGCTCTCTACTCTTGATGGCTTGATACTTTCTCTTAAACCTTCAATACAAACTCAATAAGGATCCTACTCTTTCAACAATAAAAAATTCACATCTAGAGTAAGGATTCTCACCTTTAAGTGCTTAGAATCAACTTGTATCAATTTCTAGTCAAAAGCTCTTCAAAGATCCTTGGAAAATTGAATGAAAGTTTAAGAGAATTGAAGGATGAAAGAGGCGGTGGAGAAGAATCAATGAAAGGGTTTCTAAAGCTAAACCCTTAATATCTCATATTTTCTCCACTCTTTCCCAATATACCCTTGCTCCTTCTTTGAAATTCCACCTAAGACCTTTCATTCTTTGCAAAAACATCCCCATTCAAACTATTCTCCATGCAATTTCCTTACATTTCACTCCCCAATTTTCCTGCTAATTAGGGGTAGAATGGTCATTGAGTCCCAAAAGGAAGAATTCTCTAAATCTCAAGGAAAAAATCTCAGCCGAGTCTTCGCCGCGGCGAAGCTATTTCTTTGCCCTGACGAAAACTCACAGCAGCTACACGGGGGTTGTAGCACTTCATCGCCGCGACGAAGCTTCTTCTTCGCCCCGGCGAAGATTGTAACATCAAGATTTCGCCAAGTCTTACAAATTTTCAAGGCAACCACTCAACCAAACCAAAACACCCTTTCAACCAAGGGTAAACCAAGCAATATTAACAACATACAGACCTAAATGAGGATAAATCAATAAACATTTAAGCCATTCATCAAATCTTAACTACGTACCTCAAGTGGGGCATTACAGATTTGGTCGGAAAAGGCCAGATCTGGCCGTCGAGGCCGAAAAAGGCCAGACGTAGATCTAGCCGCGGATCTGGTCGGAAAAGGTCAGATCGATGCGTTACGACACAGATCCGACGGGTCTGTGTCGTAACACAATTTTTCGACTAGATTCCGGCGGTGGTGGCCGGAATCTGGCACTACTGGTGGCGGGGGTGTTTTTGTTATTTTATAAAAATTTTATATATTGGGGTATTTAGTCAAATTAGCAAGCATATGGGGTTTTTTAGAAATTTTTAAATTTATAAAAAACTAAAATATTAAACTTTCAAGGGCATTTTAGTCTTTTCACTATTATCAAAAGAAAATCACTAACAGAACATGACGGAAGGTACCTATTTGTCGTTTCAAAACCTTTTGGGTACCAACTTGTCATTTCGATAAACCTTGGGTATGTGTAAGTCGTTCTCCCTATAAATCTATAATGGAATGTTATAATTGATTAAGTAATCATATTATAACTCTATAATGTAATGTTATAAATTTATAACTAATTAAGTAATCATTTAACTATATAATGTTATAATTAATTAAGTGATCATAATATAATGTAATGTAATAATGTTATAATTTAATTAAGTAATTATTTAACTATAATATAATGCTTAATTAATTAAATTTCTAAATATAACTTCCCTATAAATAATGATTTTGTTAAAAAATGCAAATTTGTTAATCAATCAAAATTAAGATAATTAATTAAACAATAATTAGGTTCATGTGTTCCAATAATTGATTATGGTAATGGACCCCAATTAATTATACAGGTTTTATGTCTAAATAATCATTAAGTTGTATTCATGTTCACATTTGTATTTATATTTGACCCACATGATAAGTTTTGTTAATTAGATTTAATTAAATTAATCACAGAGATTAAAGAAAATGACTGACACATCAAGTTGTGTTAGAGAATTAAAAAAACTAAAATATTATGCAAAATATATATTTTAATAACATTAAAACACTTTTAATTGGATTCTAATTCCAATTGTACACTTAATTAATCAAAATTTTAATATTAATATATTAAAGTTTTTAATATGTTGTAGTTTATATGTAATAAGTATCATTGTATATTTATTTAATTAGGTTATTCTAAAATTTTAGGCTCCATTTGGCTTATTATTTCTATCCATATTCCCAATCTTATCCCCAAAATACTTGTTTGTTTTGTTATTTGAGAAATATTAGTATATTTTTTAAATTTATTTTACAACCCTTAAATTTATTAATTTATACCCCAAAAATAAAGTTTAAAAATTAACAAAAACACCCCCACCCACCTATACTTGCCAAATTCCGGCAACCACCGACGGTGGTAGCCGAAATCTATCACAACAGCCTATAAACAACTTGAACTGGCCAGTAATTCACCAATCTGACCTTTTTCGGGTAGATCCACAATGGATCTGGCCATCTCTGACAGGTAGATTTGGACTTTTACAGCCGTTGACGGCCAGATCTGGCCGTAGATCTGACATTTTTCGGTCATATCGATGCCCTACCTACCAGATCAGACCAGTCTACGTCGTAATGCCATTTTCTGGCCAGATTCCCGCGGTGGTGGCTGGAATCTGGCACTGTGGGTGGGGGTGTTTTTGTCATTTTATAATTTTTTTTATATATTGGGGTGTTTAGTTAAATTAGCAAACTTAGGTGGTTTTTTTGTTAATTTTTAAATTTTGCCTCGTAATACTCTCTTATTCAACTACCTAATATTATTCCCAAAATCATATCCAAAATAACAAAACAAATGGACCCTTAACTTTTTCTATTTTAAATTTTTTATATGTAAAATAATGAAACCCCCCATTATTCACAAATACTTCATTGGAGCCTAGGTTCCAAAACATGTTCCAAAAATCGGTTCCAAATCGAGTACCCGCTACAGGTTCCAAACTGGGTACCTGTTTCAAGTTTTTTTTTGAAGTTCCGATTCCAGTTTTGGTTTCTCTACACATAAGAATCGGAACTGCACAGTGTCGGTTCCAATAAAATGGAACCGAAACCTACCTGCACAGTGCCGATTTTAGGTAGGTTCTGGTTCTGGTTCTACCCGCTATCTATGCTCACCCCTATATTTTGCAATCATTGGTTCTCTATGGCTAACTTCGAAACATGCTAGAAAGCTAGAGGCCATTGACATAAAAGAATTCTACCACAGGATATATAATGTCTAGAAATCCAGGCTCGTTTTGGGTGATACTCGACTCGACTCGGCTCGTTTACACCCCTAGGCCCAGCCCATGGCCCATGCTTTTATTTAAAAATGAGTTATTTCTCAACTCAAACCCCAAAAAAGTGTTGCTTAATATAACTTCCCTGGAAATAATGATTTTATTAAAAAATGCAAATCTGTTAATCAATCAAAATTAAGATAATTAATTAAACAATAATTAGGCTCATGTGTTACAACTTCCAATAATTGATTATGGTAATGGACCCCGTTTAATTATACAGGTTTTATGTCTAAATAATCATCAAAGTTGTATTCATGTTCACGTTTGCATTTATTGACCCACGTGATAAGTTTTGTTAATTAGAGTTAATTAATTAAACAGAGAATTAAAGAAATGACCTGAAACATCAAGTTGTGTTAGAGGAATTAAAAAAACTAAAATATTATGCAAAATATATATTTTATATGAACAGAAAGATTCTCTTATATAAAATCGTATAAGGGAAAAGAAAAACATAAAATAAGCATTGACTTAAAGATAAATCAAATTAATTAGAAACATTAAACGGATATAATTGACTTTTTCTAAGATTATCATAAAGGGTTAGATTATAGATGAAGATATTGTAAAACTTAAACGTCACATTATATCCGTATTAATAAATATTATTGAGTAATTTTGTAGACTAATATCTATTCACTTTGTTTCACGTAGTTTACGTAAAAAGTTTGCCAGGGTCCATTGATATAGAATTTAAATATAGTTTTTTATTATTTTGTTCTTAAAAATAATTTGTATAAAACTAGTGTAATATTAAAAAAATGATTAAAAATTGTTTTTACAGTTTTTAGCACATTTGATCTGCAACGGTTTTTAAATTTTATATCAAATACATTTTTATTTATTAAAAATATTAAAATATACTTTAAATTTATAGTAGTTTAGTTTTAAAAAAATTATTTTGAATCAGCCTAAATATTTTTACAATTTTAGAAGAATATTTTTATTAAATTAAATATGATAAATTAAACAATAAGATGTGACCAATTGGTAACTGAGTTTTAAGTGGGGACGAACTTTATCTGTAAAGTAAGGGGTTCAAATCGCACTGAAAACACCTTGTGACCTCTAGTACTTACCAAGCCTTGATGGGATTAGTCTTATAATTTCGAGTATGGGGTAACCGAATTCAAATCACACTAGAAGCACCTTATGGCTAAGGGTACTTATCTAGGGTTCGAACTACATTGAAACACCTTGTGGGCAAGGATACGACCCGAGCCCCGATCAGGATTAGTCTCGTAACTTCGAGTATGGGGTGACTTGACTCAAATTCAAAATACACTAAAAGCACCATATCTAGGGATACTTATCCGAGCCCTGATGGGGTTAGTCTCATAACTTTATGCATGGAGTGATCCAAGGCTTCACCTTAAAAAAAAAACAAACAAGAGAAAGCAATTTAACTTGTGAGGCGTGAACACTTCAGAAATTACAGTTCTTTTTCTCTTTCACTTTCTTACCCGAGCGGCAATAAAACTTGACCAAGAACTCAAGTGGACTCAGCAACCACAAAAAGTACCACAAGAAACATCCAATGTACTTGCCTACGTGTTTCCTTACAAAGAGCCATATCTTCATCGCCTACATCACCCACCACTTCAATCAAACCCTCCCACACCTCACACGTTCAAGAAGTCATCAAACTTTGATCACGGGAACTAAACGGCTAAGAATCATGAAGTTAGAAACATACAAACACTTAAGCTTGGTAATGATTAATAGAGAGATAAATGAAGCCAAATACGTATTCTCCTCTCAAAAAGTTGTGACATCGTTGTCGAAATCTAGAAGACAATAGCTGTATTGTTTGTCAATCAAGAATATTTTTGTTGTCTGCGTTTCAGCTCCTAGACACGGTTTCTATCCAATATAAGCTGCTCACTGTTCAATCTTGATTTTAACGTAGTTAGAGTAAGTTTCATCAGTACCCTTTGGATTATTGAGTTATGTGTGTGTTTGGACAGGCTTTAAAACCATTATCTGAATACCCTTGTGAATTTGGTGCCTTTTTGGTCTGTTTTGGATAAGTTTGAAACTGGGTGTGTGTGTTTTTGATGAGAATTCGCAAGTTGGTGCTTTTCTGTTGTGTGGATGATTTCACTATTTTCTTTGAGTTTCTGTGATGGTAATACATAGCTCTTTCTGTAAAGTTTTGATTTTTGATGATGGAACTTGATTGTCATCACTATTCAGTGATTTTATTATGATTTAAGCTCATGTTTCTGTATCTGTCTGGGCTTAAAGGTTTCATTTCAGAATCGAACTTCGAATTGGCACTTTGATACTCTCTCTTTGTGTTATGATTGGCCCCCAAAAGTATTTGTTTAATTTTGTATGAACAATATAATTTGAGTTGGATAGTATATTATGATGATTCCATATATAGTGGTTACAAGTAATTTTTTCTACTTTCATCAGTCTAAAGCACAATTTCTTCTTTTTAATATTTTGTATCACTTAAACTTGGCGATTTGCTTAATCTAATCGGCTTCTCTTGGGAACTTCAGTTCTAGTTCAGGACATGAGGACTTGGCTAATAAAGCTTGGCCCATGAATAAAGAATACATCTAAAATGGCTTGTAAATTAAGTTGAGTAAATCATTCGGTCTTGTGTAAATATAGTACTGCGATTTTTTAACATAACTGTGTTCACCTGATTGCTATGTAAACTTCTAACTTTGAGTGATCGACTCAATTTACGGTAATAAAAATTATCTCTGAAGGGTTAAAGTGAGAATAAGTTTCATCCTATATCCGTTGAGATGAGCATTAATATGATTAATTTCTTATTGATTAGAGTTCTTTTGTGTATCTGGTTATTTATGTTTGTAATGGTATAATTCATTGTTTATTTTTCTTACAGTTTCCACAGTTGTGCTTTACTGTGACTGTGGCCTTCTGAAGTAGTGATAATGAGCTTCAGAAACTGAATTGACAATTGCATCCACAGCACACAGTAAGTTCTAGTGAGGCTTTAGTTGCTAACATTGGTTGAAACATACAATTTTGCAGGAATGAGTATGCCCCGTTTGTTTATTCAGGGACCAGTTGCAAAATAGCTGAGTGATTTGAGGATTCTGTGGCTATGTCTTCATCTTTTCCTTTTCTTCCTACCCATACAGGAGAGAAGTATCCCAAATTGCCCAACTCTTGTCAGATTTCTCAGAAAAAGAACATCGACTAATCCCATATAACCCCCAGACATCTCCTTCAGCTCCCAATCGGGCAACTGCTGGGCACTCATTTTCACCGTCTTCCAGATTTCCCAATGATATGCTTGTTTCTTTGTTCACCAAATGAAAGGAATTCCCAAAATTTTCTGTTCATTTCTCAATCATCAAGAGGGCGAAAAACATTGCCACAACCCATTTCTCCTTCAGAAGTACAATCCACAGGTTCGATTAATGTCCCTGAGGGAAATAAGGATATGTCTGGTGTATAGACCCGTCCAGGATTTCTTCGTTTCCTGAAAATGTCCCTATACGAACTGGACTGGTGGAAAGCATACTGGTGATAGGGATCTGAGGATCATGCTAAGAGCGCTGAGTGGCAGGAGTGGGCAGATCAATTGATCGCTGTGAGGATGGTCCAGACCGAATTGGAGCGAAAATTCTGCCAATGTTGATGCTGCCGAGGCAGACCAAAGGTTAGTTCCTCAAGTTAATTTAATCTTGGAACACTTGGGGAACATCTTGCTCCAGTTAAATTCTTGGTTTGATGCTTAAAATGCATCATACATGAAGCAAATATAGAATTTCATTAATGCAGTTGGAACTTTAAAATATCTGGATTTCGTGTTATTCATCCTATAATTCCTGGGACTATTCTTAGCTCATATGTCACATGTAAATTTTTTAATTGATGCTAAAGGGTTACTGGAAGGTGGCCTGAGCTTAAAACCGATAGTCTCTTTGGAAATGTTTGGTTACCATAATTATGCATTATTGATCATGAATTCCTTCCATCCAATAGGTGGTTTGTATATGTTTTAGTGCAATTGTAGAGAATTTTTACACTAAACTCAATTCTTCTGCACGTTTTCTTTTCCTTTCCCTTAAATTTGAAGAGCAGTATGGTGTTACCTTTTTCCCCAAGTAAAGAATCATTTTTATTCATGTGCTTCAATTTTTGTTCTCTGGTTCCCTTGGCGTTTAATAGTTCTTGACATGTGCTAGGTGCTGAAACCATCTACAAGTATCTCAGGTGCAAACAACCCCAAATTCATCAGCATCAGCCGTTGCCAAGTGAAGAATTTCATGCTGTGCTAACCATTGTCACAGTACCCCAAACCAAAGCCAGAATGCGATGGACTCCAGAACTTCATGAGTATTCGTGGAGGCTGTGAATCAGCTGGGTGGTAGTGAACGTGAGTGGCCCTTTCAGTAAAATTGTCCCTTGATCTAGTATGACCTGGGTATATTTGTTTTCACTCATTTTCGCCATAACTTAATTACAGGAGCTACTCCAAAGGGTGTCTTAAAGGTCATGAATGTTGAAGGTTGACAATTATCATGTTAAAAGCCACCTGCAGGTTGTGTATACTCTTTATCTTTTATTTAAATTCCATCTTTCAACCTTGTTTAGTGGTGTTATCGATTTAGCTAAAAATTAAAATTTTGAATTTCAGAAATATAGGACAGCACCGACACACAACCACAGTCTTCAGAAGGTATGAGCTATTGTTCACACTTGTTTTCTGTTCCTTGGTCATGCCATTGCCATAAAATATGATTAAGTTTGGTGAATACAATTGGTTGAAAAGTATTGTTCTCATTGAGAAACATCAGAGAAGAAATTGACCCTATCGAAGAGATGAAATCAATGGACTTGAAAACGTAAGCAAAATCCTTTACATTAAGTCATTATATCTATCTAAAAGCCTCATTGAGGACCAAACAAGAGGTTTATTACCATCATCTAACCCTAAAACACAAAAATTCAGATGTGAATTTTTGCATCGAAAACTGTAGAATTTGTCTTCTAATGTATTATTACTGTCGGCTAATGGAGGTCTGGATTTTAAAAAAAATGCAGATGTTCATATCTGAGAATTCTTTTGTGTGTGTGTGTGTGTGTGTGTGTGTGTACTTGTGCCATTCTCTTATCATGTGGCTCAGAGTACTTATTTTTCTTTTTTCAGTCTTCTAGTTACCATATCAGTTAATATATCTGAGAACTAGGCAAGATTTGCCATTCACACTATGATTAGATTCTTAAGACACTTTATCAAGTATAAACTTTATGGCAAAGCAGAAATCAGGAAGTTGCTTAATGGGAATAGAGAGTCCTGACTATATTTGCCTTATTTTCTTGAGGAATTAAGTTCAGTCAATCCCTTTGATACTGCTAACTTTGCCCCTCGTTAGCTTAATATAGCGGTTTTGGTGGGTGCAGGAACCTGTTTGAGAAATTAAATCTAGACATTCCCTTGACTGTCTAACTTTAACCTCCTTATTATCCTTAGCTTTACATACTGGTTCTGGTGAATGCAGGGTCCTGTTTCTTGAAGACTTCTTTTGTTGTCCTTTTCATGCTCCCTGAATGCTTACTTTGGTGGCCCTTGTAATGACGATCCATCAGTTATCGTAAATAAAACTCTTGTTTAGTTAATCTAAAAGAAAGCTTCATAGATAAACTATATGCATCAAACCATCACCCAAAATAATTATGATCATTAGAAACTATGTTTTGCATACATGTTCATATAATTTTGATGAAGTGCCAGATTATTATTTGACTTTTAGTACCATAAAAATGCCCTTTTTTTTCTATCTAGATTGCTATACTTTCCAGTTGTTGCTTTCTCTGTTTGCCTCTATAAATTACCCATAGCAGCTCTTCTATAACTTTTACTTCACTTCCAATGCAATGGTGAACAGTTGAGTGTAATTTCAGTTTGAAATTCATACTATGTTGGTTTGATAACAGGACAATGAGCATCACTGAAGCATTGCGAATGCAGATGGAAGTTCAGAAGCGACTCCATGAACAGCTTGAGGTACATTATTGACTATCCTAGGGTCAGCTTTTTGGACCTAAAAATGCAAGGTAAATTTTAGGGATAAGATTCAAGATAATGCAGTGACTGTTGATGGGATGAAAATAAGTTGCTCCTGGTAGTTAAACCTGGCAAATCTTCCATATTGCTCTTAGAGTAATAGTACGTTTACAATTCAAACTCACAACTCTCTTACAACCGCCGATGTGACTGCATACAATTGGTCAGCTCGCAAAATGGGTCCCGCTTGTCCAATTGCGGCTGATTAATTGCGCACTGTCATGTCGATGGTTGTGAGAGAAAGTTGAGTTTGAGTTGTAAACGTAGTATTATTCATTGCTCTTAATAGTTTGATGAAAACAATGAATTGTTGAGAAGAAAGATGTCACATAGTTGTCAACTGTGATAAAGTCACTGAAAATAATGATGTGATTATGCAAGAAGGTAAAGCGAGGGAGGACTGGGTGAGAATTTGTAGTTTGAAGTTCGATAAATTTAATTTTTGAGACCCTTTTCTTCTCTAATAAAATTTTGTAAGAAAATGCTGTTAATGTCACACCTACAGTCTCTTATATATACGGTGTCATACTATTCAACAGATTCAGAGAAATTTGCAGTTGCGAATTGAAGAACAGGGGAAGTATCTTCAAGAGATGTTTGAGCAACAAAGAAAATTGGAGAATGATAAGCCCAATGCCTCTTCATCCAACCTTGACAATCCTTCCTCTCCAACGGCAAAGCCAAAGCAGCATTCACCCAAAAATGAAAAACCAGAAGCTGCAGAGCTGGATCTGACCAAAACAGGAAGAAGTACAGGTACTGTCAACACTTCATCGGAAGAAAGTCCACAGAGTTCAAGCAGGAAACAGAAGTCCCCTGAACCCAAACCTGTCGACCTGGATGATGAAAAGTCGGGTCACACTAACACAAAACGAGCAAGAACAAATGAAACAGCAGAATGTTCAGCGAAATCTGCATTGGACTGAACACCTTATAGAATTATCTAATTTAGACAGAAGATCATTCAATCCAGGAGTTTCTGACAGTGAGGCTAATATTTCATCTTAGCAAAGACATATGAAGACTCAGATTTCAATATCATGTTCAATGTGGGGTTGAATTTGCACTGAAAGCTGACAGTAGGAGATGGATGTTCTGTAAATGTTTTGTGTCTCTCCTTCATGGAATAATGGTTCAAGTAATGTGACTGTTTATATGTATATAGATACAACTAATTTGAACTTCTTTTCTTATTTGCCTCTCAAATAACGCAAGTAAAATGCAAATCTCAAAACCACTTGGTTTGTGGTTGGATTGCAAGATTTTAGGTTACCCAGAGGTCTTGTGTTCGAGTCCCACCAAATAGTTACATATCACATGTATGACTTATCTAACTCATTGGACTTGTAAAGTGTTCAATGAACCATAAAAAATAATTGAAATACGTGCAAACAGATTCGGAAGTCACAAACGCAAACAGAAAGTTGTTATGTCCAATTGGCAAAGAATGTAAGGTTGAATTTGGCTGTATCTCATTAATAATGAAATAATCTTAAAATATTATATTCCTTCTATTTTTATATAAAAATCGTTTTAAAGATGTTTTATTTTTTCAAATTAAAAGTCGCACTTTGTCTTGTCCTTTCTCCACTTTTAGTCATGGCCCACGTCTCCTTTGTTTCTCTTTATCTTATCTTATCTTATCTCTTCCCCTCTCCTCCTCTCTTCCATATTTTCCATCGCCCGCTTCTTCTTTCTCTGCTCTGTCTTTGCTTCCATCTTCTCTCTCTTTTTCGAAACAAAGTTTAAAGACAGGATCCTCGACTCGGACTTTACCAGAGGTCAATTCTTCGACTTTAAGGAGCCCCGTTTCACAGAATCAAAGAGATGAAAATGGAACAGAAATAGAAATGATTGAGGGACGACAGAATAAAAGAAATAGAACAGAGTAAAAGAAAAGAAAGAGACGAAGGAGCAGAATAAAAGAAATGGAATAAGGCAAATGTAAATTATTTAAATATGCAGCGGAAAAGTTTCCCAACTGCAAAATCTTCTCCCACATGCAAAATCATGGGAAAAAGTTGGGTGAGAGAGACAAATTTTTTTTAATTAAAAATCGTACCCAAGCTTAAAACGACTTTCATATAAAAGCGGAGGGAGTAT